TAAGCTGATCAAAGTTAAGAAGTTTCCGACATATATGAAGTTATATAAAGCCAGGGCCATATAATATGGCACGACACCTTCTAGAAGTATGTGCATTGGGTCTTGGGCTAGACCCCAAATGAATTCAAAATTATTTATATCTAGTAAACAGCTCGTTCCATTAATTCCCCAGATTTTACTCCAATATGTTTTTGTTTTTCCATTCAAAGAATCCAACTGAACACACCTGTCCCTATGTGTGATTGTATCTCGTAAATGGCACTCGGACTCAGTGATTGTTGTACGGAGAAATTCAGTTTCAATGTTACAATGCCTGCAGCACTTCAATGCAAAAGCTACGCCCTCTTTAAATTGACCTAACTCATGAGCTGCCAGTGTATCCGCCGACACGAGGACGAGAGTCCCAAAAATGACCCTTTCTTCTCTGTTTATGATCAAACGTAATCCAGAAGTGGACATTTGGTTAACAGTACTTATGAAGTCATTTAACAACAATTTGGTGGCGCCGTGGAACTTAACTAGTTTGCTTTTAGCTATAGCGAGAAGTTGAATTGAGTTGATCCTGGATCTAAATTGAGGAGGGATATTTAGTATAGAAAAGTAGTATAAAGAGATCTTGTGTTTCTTTATATTTGTGCCAAGAGGATTGACAATTTCAGTGCTTAAAGCTATCTGAATGGCACTCGGGTGATCATTAAACAATGTGTTGCCTTGTATGTATTCCCCGTCGCATACATCGTGCACAAAATCATCGGGAGACTTATGTGGCGTTTTAATGAAATTAAACATTTCAGGCATATTCAAAAGATTTTCTAAATTCTTTTTGAACGGAACTATGTACCCGAAATCTGATATTGTTTTGATAACACCCTTTACGACTCTTCTCCGTTTTCCTAACAAGAGTTCCTCAGGTTTAACATAAGTTACCATGTGTTTGAAATAATAATTATCTCTCTGTTTGCTAGACGATAGAGCCTCTAAACCTGGAGAATAATGTACATTATTGAGAAAAGAAGCATCAATTCCTTCTTGTTGCAAATGAGTTTGTATGACTACCTTATAATTATTTAAATGGTCGGTTAATAAATGACTGGATGATATCACGGCA